TGGGCAAGTCACTTAACCCCAATTGCCTCACCAAAAAAAAAGAAAGAAAGAAAGAAAGAAATATGTGAACAGGAGCAAAAAAGAAAATACAAAAGCAAAACAGTACAAAAATGATTGTACATGTAACTATGTACTACTCTGATTGTTAAAAGAGAATATTTTTTATCAACTTAAAATTCCAGTGTGGTCAACATTAATTTTTTTGTTGTTTAATGTTGTTTTTCTTTATGTAGATGAAGGCACTGGGTATATATACTGTTGTTTTGTTTCTGCTTTCTTTACTATGCATTGGTTCAGATAAGTCTTCCTATATTTTCTTTGCATCCTTTATATTTGTTATCTGCCATAGAGTAATAATACTGAATTATATTAAAAAAATGATTGAGGAATTCAGAGAATTCTGAGACTCGGTGTATAAACTGATACAAAGAGAAATAAACAGAACCAAGAGAAAAACATTCAGTTATTGCACTAATATAAATTTAAAATCCCTAATAGGAAGTCAAACTATGAAAAACTTTTAAGAATCAGTGAAACTTACAGATAATGAAACATAACTCCTTATGACAGCTAGGAAAGAATTTTCATATATCGTCAGGTATGGTCACTGTCGTGTTTTTGCTTAATTGTTTTTCTTTGTTGGAAGGAAGGTAGAGAGGAAATAAGCATTTGTTAAACACCCACAGTGTGCCAGACATTGTGCCAAAACTCTTTACAAATATCTCATTTGATCCAAACAACAACTCTGTAAGGTAGGTGCTGTTATTATCCCCATTTTACAGTTGAGGAAACTGAGGCAGGCAGTGGTCATGTAATTTGCCCGGGGTTACACAGGTAGTAAGTGCCTAGTGCAGATTTGAATTCAGTTCTTCCTTACTCCAGGCAGAGTGCTCTTTATCAGTGAGTAAGTATTTAGGAAGCACCTAGTTCCAGGCCATTATGCTGGGGATACAAATGCAAATAAAAACATAGACAGTCCTTGCCCTCAAGGAGGTTATAATCTAATGGGGGAACACAACCCACAAAAAGAAGCTGAAAAGTGGGACCGGAGAGGAATGGTACCTACCACGGCGTGATAGAGAGTTCTAGAGAAGTCTAAAAGCAGTGGAGCTGGTAGAAAATGGGACTAATGATAGCTAACACACATGTATGTATGCATACACAAGTGTATATGCATGCATATGTATATCTGTCCAACTATGGGCCAGGCACTATGCTAAGCACTTTCCAATAATTGTCATTTGATCCTCACAACAACCTTGGGAGATGGCTGCTGACATTTTACAGATGAGGAAACTGAGGCAGACTAAGTGACTTGCCCAGAGTCATATAGCTAGTTAAAGTATGGAGGCCAAATTTGAGTTCAGGTCTTCTGACTCCAGGTTCAGTGCTCTCTCCACTATGCCTAGGGTTCAATTTGGGGTTGGGGATGAGATTGAAATGACTGATGTAAAAATGAAAGACAATTAAATGTGTTTTGAAAATTTTGTTACAGTGTACATTCGTATACCAAAGTTTATTCAAACATTCCCCACATATTGTAGATTCAAAGTTTGTTTTCAGTTTTTTGCTGTTACAAATGATACTTGTAGGAATATTTCTGTGTAGCCAGGTCTTTTTTTCCCCTTTCTGCAGTGATCTTAGTATCAGCATCAATAGGACAAAAGATAACATCTTTTATCATAAAGTTTAATGCAAGACTTTTCCCAGTCTATATATTTCCTGCTTCTTCTAGATGCAGCGTTTTGAGTTGTGCAGAATCTTTTTTTTTAAAGAGTCAAATTTGTCTCTTTTTGTACCTTATAATTTCCTTTTGAGTCATGACTGATTATTTTTTTTTTTGCTGTACACAGTTGCACAATGTATGGTTATAGGTGCTTTAATTTTTTATAGTATGACATTTTGTAATTAAATTATTTATCCACTTGGAATTTCTTATGGTATAAGGTACTAATTTGTTGCCATTTTCCCACAAATTGCAATTAATTTTTCCAAGCAGTTTTTGTTGAATAATGAATTCATTCCCCAGTGATTTGTGTTCTTGGACTTATTGAATACTAGACAGTTGTATGCATTTGGTTCTGAATCTTGTTTTTCTGATCTTTTTCAGGGATCTGTTTTTTTCTGTTTATACCCAGTATGAGATTGTTTTGATAATTATTGTTTCATAGTATAAGTGGAAATTTGGTGGTGCTAATTCACTTTCTATTTTGTTTTATTATTTTCCTTGATATCCTTTATCTTGGGTTCTTCCATTTAAGTTTTCTTATTTAATTGATATTTTAGTTGGTATTAAATCTACAAATAAATTTGAGTGTTTCTCCCCCTCTCTTCTATATTAACATAGAAGAAGCAGAATCTTTCAGTAGAGAGAACTGGCCTTGGAGCCAGGAAGACCTGGATTCAAGTCCTGCCTCTGGTACATACTAACTGTTATTGTGAGCAAGTCATTTAACCTCTCAGGGCCCTAACCAACCCTATAAAACTTTAAGTTGCAGAGAAGGTGTGCAACTGCTTTTGTAGAGGGCATTCCTCTCCTGGAGCCCTCTCCACTCTGGTGAAATCACAGTTCCAGTACTTCACATTAAGTACCTTTCCAGTTGTTTAGTTCTTTTTTTTTTTTTAATAAGCAAAAAGTACTTCATATGGCTAGATAAATTAATTCTCAAATATTTAGTACATTTTAAATGATCTTTATTTTATAACTTTTCTTGGTTAGTAGTTTTATTTAGGAATATTAATAATTTTGTGTGGTTATTTTTTTATCCTGCCATCTTGGTGAAGCTGTTTTTTTTTTGTTGTCTCTTGAATTTTTTAAGTAAGTCATCCTATCATACCCCCTTTTTAAATTCTAATTTCCTTTTTTATTTTATTACTATTGATAACAGTCCTAAAACTTGTAAAAAAAAAAAATAATGCAAGTGGGGACATCCTGTTTTCATTCTACTTCATTATAAATAATGTTAGCTCTTGGTTTCTGGTAAGTTTTTTGTTATTTCCCTGCCTATTTTTTTTTTTTTTATCATAAGTGAGTATTGAATTTTATTGAAGGCTTTTTGTGCATCTATTGTCTTTTCCTGGTTTTGTTTTTATTTTTATTTTTCCTGGTTTGTTTTTATTATTGACATTTTGTTATGCCAATTATTTTTTAATGTTGAACTATCTGCATCCTTAGTATAAATCCAACTTGATAATAGTTTTTTTTTAAAGGGTATTACTATTTTAGAGTATTTCTTATGAACTCTCTCATTAGGCAGGCAGTCTGCCCTCTAGTTAATTGAACATTGAATAGGATCTGTAGGACAGTTTAAGAGAGAGGCTCAGCCAAAATGAAGCAGACTAAACATCCCTCCTCCCCCGGCTTTTCCCTCCCTTCTCTCCCTCTCTTTCCCCCCTTCCCCATTTCTCTCTACCCCCTTTCCCTACCTTCTCTCCCTCTCTCTTTCCTTCTCTCTTTTTTTCTTTCTTTCAGAATCTCATTAAGCAGATGCCAGAGCCAGAGCAGCTAAAGATGCTGTCAGAACTAAAGAATGAATATGATGATCTGGCTGAGTCAGAACAGTTTGGTGTAGTGGTGAG